GCACTGGGCCTCTAGTAAACTATAAAAAACTAAAAGATTCTTGAAGATAAAGTGTAAGGGTTCAGTGGGGAGATGCATGTATGAGACAAACCCAGGGCATTCAGTGGCTGTGTCTCCGTGGCTTCCGGCTCCTGTCCACGGACCCGGCTCCGGGAAGCTGTCTTCCTTCCCTTCGTCTCCAAACGTAACAACTTCATTTGCATGGAGTTAACACAAATGTCCGAAGGATGTGTAACCCTGCCCCCTGCCCCCAGCCCGGAACTGAATTAAGCCCAATACACTGTTTGTTCTGTATCACAAACCTCCCCCATCCTGTTTTGTACCTGGGCCATTGACCAACAGTAAAAATGGACACATTCTCGAAAAAACGTCCCCTCTGGCCATGTGCCCGGCGGCAACGGCCGTTTTGATCGCTCGGCGCCGTCACTGGGCCGTGAACAAATTGGCTTTGATGTGTGAGCTGCACACATCACAATCTCGTCCGTCCTTGCAGCCACCCACTGCTCTTCTCCAAATTACCCGTGACCTTGTCACCGACACGCTGGGGGGCAAAAGCCAAATTCCAGTCAAAGATTCTCCTTAATCACGTTGAATTAATCACCAGCCGCAAAGCACTCACTTTATCACGTCAGCGTGGTGAGAGGACTTGGAGTTCTGCCTTTAAAGAACACTTTATTGGGCCACGTTACCCGGCTGGTCTCCCCCGTGTGCGGCACGCAGGAATTACACCACATCCCATCGCTGCGCCGTAGGCTCCTGGCATTTCCCCCGGGGACTTTTCTACTAAACTTCATGCGGTGGAGACACAGTGAAGGTTTCTCAGTAAACTTATCAGCGAGGCGTCCACGTGTGTTTTCCTGTAAACTGTCCAGAAGCAACGGCTGAGCCCATGGACGCAGTGGCTGCCTCGGCCCTGTCCCTCACTCCAGCACGTCTGCACACACGTGCCCGTGTCCCTCTGCCCCGGCCGCCAGGGAATTCAGTGGCTGAGACCCACGTGGAGCGGGGGTGGGGTGGGGGGGATGATCCCCCTCAGAGCCTGAGAAGACGGGGTGACGGGAGAGGCCCGATCTGTGCCTCTGACCCACGGACAAACGAGGAAAACAGTCTGAGCTCATTTTCCTCCATTTGAGAAAAGTATGTTTTTTGCTTCAGCAAAACATTCAGCCAAAATCATTAATAAAAAGTGAATTCAGGTATTCTACTTTAAGCAAAGGAATCTTACTCATTATTATATAACTAGAGGCTCGGGGCACGAAATTTGTGCAGGGGGAGGGGGTCCCTTCAGCC